CAATAAAATTGTCCAAATACCACATTTACTATGTGAACCATTTTACAATGGATTTTCCATGGCTTTAGCACCACTTGCTATAGCCAGTTCATTAATATGAGAATTCCTTAGGGCTCCAGACATGATTAGGATTCAATGTGAAGCACTTTCATAGAATCATAGAAAATTAGGGCTGGAAAGGACCTCAGGAGGTCATATCTAGTCCAACCCCCTGCTCAAAGCAGGACCATCCCCAACTAGATTATTCCAGCCAAGGCTTTGTCAAGCCAGGTCTTAAAAACCTCCAAGGATGGAGTTTCCACCACCTCTTACAAGGAAAGAGACTATGCCTGCCCTGAAGAACTTACATTCAAAATAGACAGGACAGCTGCAGGGTGGGAGAAGGAAGTATAATTATCCTCATGTTACAGAGGAAGAATGGAGGCAAAGAGAGATCAAGTCATGCGAAGCACTGTGAAAATTGTGTTTAGATCTCCTGGGTCCCAATCCAGTGCCTTGCCTTCAAGATCCTTTATCCTCTCTTCTTCCAGCCTCAGATGTATGAATAAAGCCAGACATGAATTGTGATGTAACTGAAGTTGGCAACAATTTTTTCATTTTATTTTCTTCCCCTTTATTGTTATTTTTGTTCATCTGAAAGTCAGTTTTAACTTTCTAAGCATATGTTTTGCTTAACCCCAGTGTTACACGGCATCTACAGGACCATCCAGATTTCTTCCACCATTCAAATCGTGCACCAGGTCCCCATGTCCTGCATCAGCTTCTCGCTTTCATCAAAGACGAACAAACAGCTACAGCCTCACCGTAAGCACAACTTCTAGGCAACCTCTCACCTCTAACTTAAATAACAACTGCTTCCCCACCACAATGAGTTTATGAGAGCCAAAGCAGGACACCACTTGTCTCTGCAATAGGAAGCCTCTGAAATGAACAAATACAAAACCAACCCAAAAAAAACCTCTGAAAAAAGCACTGTCCATCATAATGCATGGCATTTTTGTACAGTGTCACTGATATCCATCTTGCTCCAAGTTATACTGCTTATATCAGTAAATATACCAGTATATAAAACAGGACATCATGCAGCATGCAGGCAGTGGTGTTTTGACTGAACTGTCCCTCGTATGCATTTACAAGGCCCCTATTACTATAATATCTGAACACCTCACTTATTTGTTGTGTATTCATCAGTGTAACACCCCGGGGGAGAGCTAGGGAAATGTTGACCTCTTCATTTGACAGTTGGGGAATGGAGGTACAATCAGGCTACGTGATTTGCCCAGCATCTCACAGAAAATCTGAAAACAAATATTCACTGACCTGAAACAGAGACGCCTAAATCTCACTGAACTGTTTCACTCTTCACTGGTTCATCCTTTCTCCCCCCCTCTCTGGACTAAACTGGCTTCAGGATATTTTTATCCAAATACACTTTTAACTGTTTGTATTTTTTTACTCTCCTTATTTCCCTTCACGATTCCTTCCCTCGGCGCTATCTTGTGTTCACACATGGGAGCTGCATGTGTTGACTCGGTCTCTATTCAATTAGACTTGGATCTGGACAAAAAAGCATTCAAAATTTCAAAATTTTATGAGGACAGATGGTGTGTTTTTCATGAAAACATGTTCCTACTCTTTGACTGGCTTTAATTAAAGTGCCTGATAGATATGACAGAGCAGGGGTTGAAGAGGGGAACAACGCCCTTCAGAGACCAGCTCTATTTTTAAAAGAAAATTACTGAAGCTTTGTGACACTTACAATTTTTCCTTCCTAACGAAGAGATTGACTGTCCCTTACTTTGTATAGATTCTCTGGGGAAGGGTCTACAAATGTGGTTGTTCATATACAGTAACTCACCATTGGCTTTTTTCAGCTTCCTCTAAATTTAAAGCCGTGAAGGAGACACCACCTGCATACCAGCAGTTTGATCCCTGCCCTGAGGCCAGACAGAAGCTCAAAGAAATGTGCCGACGTATGTAAGCATCCCCAATGGCTGAACTTGGTGAAATGGACTGTAGAAGGATGCAACTGGACATGGCAATGGCCTAGTTACACTCATGGTCTACCAATAACCAGAACAAGATTCTTAGAGAAAAGTGTCAGAAACCCTGTAATGTGGGATATGTACTCACAGGCAAGGTTTCCTCCTAAACTCTGTCAGTTAGATGTTGGTTTACATGGGAGCATGAACACCTGCAGCCCCTTATAGAGCTTATCCTGTCTAAATGGTCCAGTTGCTACCTGCTTTTTCAAGTGTCTGTTTCCTATTTGAAAGTCTCAATAAGAACTAGCCCCACAGCCCCAGCTAGTGATGAGGGATCTCTCTTTTTTCCTGAATCAATAGAATGTAATTATTTTGGGCTGATTGATGGTTTCCCCCCATCTGATTAACTCCAGGTTTACAGGCAATATGTGTTTGGAACAATTATGCTTGTTTATGTGACTTAAAGGCAAGTACATCTTATAAATATCCAGGTAAAAAGAGAGCTGGTGCAGGCTGAAAAATGCCATCCAAATTTGCTGAAAGATCATTTTTCACAGCAATCCATGCTCCACGTAGATAATGCCTGTCTTCCTGAAAGAGCACACAGTTCTTTAAAAACCACAGGAATTATGTGTTCGCCATTGAAGTAATTTTAGCTGTAAAGTGTAACATCCCATCTGCATCAATGCACCGATATTATGGGATGGAGAAGTTTCTGTAATTGAAATCATAGGAGGAATTTGTGAGGTCACAGTGCACTCATGCAAGTGGGAGTTTAGCAGAGATCCTGTGGTAAAGCCTCCTGTTTGTGTGAAACATGCCATCAAGTCTTTATCAGTCAAAAGTAGATAACTAATTGGTAAATATAAATGGGAGGAAAAAATCAATATTATTAAATGGAAAGGGATGAACAACATATGGAAACAGAATACCCCAAATGCACACACCTGAGTGTGAAAAAGAAAATAAAATCCAAAGCAATTACAGTACTATAGAAAGAAGAAGAAATAGGCATTTCACAGGATAGCGAATGGGTATGACCCTTCCAGTTCCATTTTGCCAAGGGGAATCCAGACCATGCAGGCAACAGCGACAGTAGTTACCATCTGTTGGCTGGTTACATGTCCAGTATTAAGTCCTCCTAGTTCTCATTTGCAAGGTATCCACTTCATAACATAATAGATAATAGATTTTTTGGCAGTCTCTGCACAAAAGTCCAAGGACTGTATGAATGAGCCACCAAGATGGAAAATTCCCCCCACCTCCCCTTCTTGAAATAGTGTGTCCAGGTCAAGGACAAGGTACATTCATGAGTGTGGAGGGTTGGCAGTAGCTTACACTGACTCTAATTGTGCGGTATTTGTTTTATGGATGGATTTCTTGACACCTTTCAGAAGCAGCAAACTCAGTACTTTGTTAATAGAGGAAAAAATTAGAAAAAGCCTTTGCCGGGGGGGGCGGGGTGGGAAAGTTGATGGTGCCTTTTCTTGAAAGGTGTCAGAAAGAGCCTAGTCAACAGAAAAATCTGTACAGCACTTGACACAGAATATGTATTGAAAGACAGTACTCCACTGAAGTAAATCAATGGAGTTATGCCCATTCATACAAGCTGTGGACCTGAGCCATTGGCTTCATGTATTTAGACTGTATGTTGAAGCAGATGCCTCCTTTATCCCTTTTCACTGTAGAGAGGAAGAGAATGCTGCAATCAAAGCCAAGGGCCACACCAGGCCTCTAATACTGCGCAACTATGCGGCTACGCTCGTATCACCGTCCATTTCTGTCCGGAAAGCTAGGACTGGTGAACCACAGGTTCGCCAGCCCACAGGTCCCAAGTCTGACGAGATGAAGTTCTATTTTGCCTTCCCTGATGGGGGGTCATTAATTTTGTATCCTTCTATTGAGAGCAAAGGAGAGGGTGGACTAGCAGAAAGTAGCCAGCACTTACCAGCTAAGTGCAAGGGTAGGCTGTGGTGAGCAGCCCTTGGGAAATCAACCCTGGGGTAGGGTATATCATTCCTCAAGTATTAAAGTGACTAGATTACAAGAGGTTCCCCAGGGAGAACTGGAAATGACACAGTAGCAGCACAAATGCCATCGTTCCTTCTGGTCCACCAAGTATCAAAATGTACAGAGGGGTGCTGAATGTGCCAAGCTTTCAGACCTGGGACATCATGCTTAGTTGTCTAGAAACCTAGACATTACCAAAATCTTATGTCATTTTTGAAGGCTCCTACCACAGAGAAAGCAATCGTTTGTTGAAATTAGAGAAATTAGCCTGGATTTCTGTGAGAGAAAGTATAGACTAGCAAGTAATGAGATTCAGTGATATCCCCCTCTCAGCCTCTTCTCCGCAGCTGGAGCTCCGTTCTATATGACCTTGTACTTCTCTACACCCTGGCATAACAGAGTCAAGACAAAAAGATGAGTTCTCTTGTGTCTTTCAGGCTTCAGGGATTTTCAAGGGCTGCTTTTACTACATGTATTATGAGCAGCCAGTGACACATTAACTTTTCCTATTCCCTCATCTGAAACTAAATTTGTTCCCCCACCGCCATCTCCTAACTCCATGCATCTCGATCCAAGTGATCAGAGAGCCATCTAATAGAATCTGATAAAAGGTACAAATGAGCTACTTTGAAGGAAAAAATGGAAGAATCTATAGCACTTGGCTTTGTTCTCTTATACCTTCTGGATGGTGTCCCTCTTTTAGTATCTAATTCAAATCCCAAATGAAGTCAGTGGCTCTTTTCAGTAGGAATCAGTAGGAATGTGATGGATTCCCTTTATTTTTGGCATCTGACCCTTGGATGAGTACACCTTTACTAGCAAGTAGCTAGAGACAGGTGTCTAACAAAAGAATCAAGGGCCAGTTTCACCATCCTCTAAAAAGCTTAAATGTTCAGCCAAGCTTTGTCTAAGATATCTATTTTTATCCTAAGCTCATTGAACTGAGACAGGAATTTCACAGGAACATACTTTTTATGGAATATCCATAACTTTCTGCTGGAGTGGAAATACCATAAGAAAAGTTACTTTTATGACCACTTATTGAGGACCTGCTTGTAATATTTCTATTGATTCAAAAGCTTTCATTTGTCTACAAGAGATTTCCAGTAAAAACAGACAATCTCTCAACCAGAAGAAAGTACAGTTGCTATTAGTATTCAGACCCCAGTGTAGTCAAGGTGATATAAAAATTTGGCTGAGCTACATGGATTAGACTAAGTTAGATTTTTGTCTTGCTTGGTCTGGTCCCAGTTACAATCAGGAAATGCAGAGACTCTGTTTAGTATTATAAATTAAATTCTTATTTGTACTGGACCTGGGAATGGGGCCCTTTGTGTTGGGCACTGCACCAGCACAGGACAAAAGATGGTTCAGGCCCCAAAACCAATTAAGCATGTAGTACAGTGTTGTTAAAAAGTAACCTCACTGGTCTGAACTCTCAGAGAATACCAGGGCATGCACAGTTTCAAAGGACAAGTCTAGTCTTGAAACCATCGTTTTATGCTTCTGTGGTAAATTTTCCCAACACTAATTATAACCCAGTGATTTTCACTGAAAACCTTTTGGGTGTCATAGCGGGGACCATTGACATTCATCTGTCATTCACAATTAACTCTCCACAGCCCTCCCAGTAGACCCCTTATTGGGTCTTCTGCTAATTTTCTATTCTACTTTAGTTTGCTTCTTATGCCACTTCTGCCTGCTAAAACTGGGTAAATTGCTGACTTAAGGAGAGCAGTGAGGAGAAAGAAAGAACTAGGAAATGCAGCTTGTTTCCCAGGCCTATTTAATTTTCATAAATTAAACTTTCAATTCCAGTCCTTCAGGGAGTTCACAGACAGTGAAGAGGTGAAGTGGGATAGAGCGCTATCTGAAAGACGACCCAGTCCTTAACTCCATCTCTAAGGGAATTTCAGCCCATTACCTTCTGTAAAAAGCTGCTTGGCTGCAGTTCAATTTGTGGTTGCTTCACAAGAGCTCGTGTTCAAGTTGACCTTTTGACTGCACTGGGTATTAAGAATTTAACGCTCCTACTCCAAGATTTCATATTATTTCTCTAGTTTAAATGAGTCCATTCATCACATTTTATCCAGTCTCATGCTTTCTGATACAGTGTTTTAAACACAACAGGCTCATTTGGAGACCTTGTCACTCTCTTTTTTACTCCACTTTGAGCTCTTCACTTTGGTTAATAGAATCAATTGCTTTAGTGTTAGTTATGAAGATGTCAGTGAATTAAGTCCTTACAGAATTGGCTTCTACAAAAAGAGACAGACTCAGTGCTCAGTCAGACAGTCGTTATTCAGCTGCCAATAATGCAACCCAGTCACTGGGAGTTTAGCAAACCGCGTCTCATTACAAAGGATGGAGGTGAATTTTGGAAGTACTATAGCTTTGAGCTGGTGTTACTGCTATGCAAAAGCCCTGGTTAACTGGAATACAGAATAGCAGGGTGGTATCTTTGTCACTGGTTGTTACTGTCAGAGAAATTAGTGTTAAGTTTTTCCCCTGCACACATGAAGCCACCTTTTTACCCTCTCAGTTTGAATGACTGACTTCAGCACCTGAAGAAAACTAGTAGAACAAAAGTCACTTCTCCCTGGAAGAACATGTTGTGCGCCCCCCTTTGTAACAAGCCTACAGAAGAACTGATTGGATAACGGGTGTTGGTTGTAGCCTTGTTGGTCTAAGGACATAGGCAGACAAGGTTATTTGGGTAATTTTGATATCTTTTATTAGACCAACTCAAATAGTTGGAAAAAATCTTCTTTGCAAGCTTTCAAGAAAAATACTTCTTTGCAAGCTTTCGGGTACAGACATCCATCTTCAGGCCTGAAGAAACCTGTTGGGTACAACCACCCACCTTCAGGCCTGAAGAAGGGTGTTTGCGCCTGAAAGCTTGCAAAGAAGAATTTTTCCAACTATTTTGGTTGGTCTAATAAAAGATATCAGATTTACCCAGAGAACCTTGTCTGCTTGGATAATGACTTTCTCCACCTAACATTGCAGTGAGAATAGAAAGAGACAAAGAAGTTGTCAAAATTTACAACAGAAAATGTTGCCTTTTTGTCAAAAAGCCCCAACACAAAATTTTTCAGCAAAAAATTGTCAAAATCTGAAAAGATATAGCCAACATTTTCAGATGAAAATGTTTTATGTTGTGATTGAATCTTTTTTTTTTTAATGTTGGTAAGTACTTCCTAGAAAAAAAATTAATCAACACCTCCGCCCAACCCAAGTTTTCTGCCTAAACAAAAAAAAAAAAATCTGACAACATTTGTTGACCTGTCCTAACCAGCCTTATCTCAGCTGCTAGTGAAACAGCTGCTCTCTCAGCTCACTGAACAAGTTAATTTCTGTGGTGTCCCTCAGTCCTCCTACCTTCTGCCTTACCTCTAGATACTTTCTGAAGGCTTGGAAAGGCATGAGCTTTCATCCTACTTAGCAACAACCTATAAGCAATAACATACTTAGATGCTAGCACACAGGAAACAAATGCATAAATGTTTCCTTTGTATACCAAAGTTTCTATACGTTGTTTATTTGAAAAATGTGTATAAGCGTCTTTCCTCAATAAAGTTGTTAATTACAAAAGAAACATCACCCCCCATTCCTTAATATTACTAACAGTTATTTGAACCCATAGTAAAAAATGATGAATCTTATACTCTACTTTAAACTTGTCCAGCTCAGATTCTGGCAAATACATGAATGAAGTTCGTTCCAGAGGGCTAGGGCAAGTGTATTCACAAAGCTTTTTTGTAATTTAGGACTCAGACTTTTTTCACTACATAAGCAAGTACTACGAACCCCAGGAGGTAGGCCAAATTCATTTGGGGTAGAATAAAACAAATATGGCTATTCTGAGAGGGGAAAAATGTGTTAGATGTTAAGGGATCCAGCAGAAAGAACCTAAATGAAGGCTATGTATACTGTAGCAATTCACAGCTAGAAAGAGCATATCAGGAACATTATTTCATATATCAGTTGTGATCGTACTTGACAATCTGTATAAGTTACCCAACAGGAAATATTGCTGTTTGCCAGCTCCCTTTATGCTGCATGGGAAAATGTATCACCCTTCTCTTTAATGATTTTCCAAGTCTAGATGTTTTAGCTTGTTTTGCAGCTGAAGGCCAGGCATGTGTGCATTATTCCTTCAAAGCCCGGTGAGTGGATTTCAACTTCTTCCTATCATGTAAATAAATCAGTGGAGCTGGTGCAGGGGAGGAGAACATAGGTCTATTTTCCAGAGCTGCTGAACACCCGCATTGACCTTTTGGAAATATGTGCACTTATTAACTTGAGTGTTTGACTGACTCCCAGACTGGAAATGTTGGAGGCATCACAGCAGTAAAGCCATCAGAAAAAGGAGTAAATGCTATAGTGTTACAGTATCATATGTCATTATATGTGATATTGAATATAAACTGTAACTATATTGAAAGACTGAAGAGCCCTTTTTGTGGAACAGGGTTTGGAGATAACATTGCAAGGAGGGCTTTACATGAAAATAGAAAAGGACACTGCTCTGTATTGCATGTGATGCCATCCTATTACAGGCACAACCCTGCTTGAGCATGCTGCTGAGACATCAAAATACTAACATTTAAAAGTATCTTCAAGGATGATGGAAATAGGGAGGGGCTTTCTAAAAGTCTTTCTAAAGGAAAGAAGTATTTCTAGACCATAAATTTACCTTTCTATTCTAAGGTGGGAAGACTTGCCAGTGCTCCTGGATTATGGGTTTTTTTCATGCCTTAAATGTGACAATTCATTAGACACTATTGCCACATCACTTCAAGATGAGATGCCTGGGAACATTTCTCTTCAGTCTAGGTTTCTCTATCCAATTTCTATCAGTTTAGTTTCCAGTACTGAAAAAAACCGAGGCATGTGTGTAACTTCATGCATACAAGTAATAGCTCAAGTGTGCAAATGCTTGCAAGACTAGAACGTTAATTATTCGGTCTTGTATCTGTTTGTGTTATAGCCAGTAAAAAGCAAAACATTTCACACTCCAATTGTGCCTTCTAATCCAAGGAAACCAACATACTTTTCCAAGCATTAATTAATTATACCTGTAAAGAACCCTGTAATGGAGAGATTATCATTTCCACATTACTGCTAAGTAGAATAAAGGCATGGAGAAGTAAAGTGTGTCACCCAAGATCACATAGCTAGTTGCTGACAAACATAAGAGCAGAATCCTGAGATCTGAACTCCAACCAAATGGCTCTTCTTTGTTAATAGTAATTGAATACACCTTCAGAAATATCTCTTGTTATATACCACTTACAGTTCATTAGAGCTTTATAACATTTTTTATAGCACATGTATGAATCTAACCCCAGTGTTATAATTAATGCTCAATAATGACTACAATGCATGCCACACCCTTGAGGAAAAGGTCATCAGAGACTTGAGCTATGCATACAGAAGGAGACCAAAACAGAGTAAAGTGGTAGAGCGGTACAGTACAAGCTTTGGATTGCACATTGTCTGATGTAATGCTTATGGAAAGAGCAGAGTGATCCCACATAAGATGCCTATATCTTTCAGAAATTTCTACCCACCAGATGGTTCAGATGCTTCATTTGAATTGGCTACGATAACCAGATCATATGTCATTTGTGGTTTCTTTACAAATGCAAGAAATTACTCCAACACACCAAAAACAGGCACCTGGAATGTGAATCAACCCAGTTTTTCAAAGCTACTCTCTTTCACTTATAAGAGTATAAGGAAGATCTGTTGAGATCTCCCCCAGAACTGGATGTTCACTCCTGTTATTTTATCCAATTAATACTGTATCACAAAGTCTAACTACTTTTTCTCTGCTCAGCTGTTCACTTGCATTAATGATGGATCTTGGAGGAGGAATTGTCAGGGACAGAGATGGATATGTAACTCATGAATGGACTTGGTCTTCAGGGACTTTTCAATCTTTAGAATTTCAGGTATAAAACTAAACTCTTGCTGAGTGTCAGTATTCCAAGAGTTATGAGAGTCTAAACCTATAAATATTTTCCAAAGTCCCTGTGTGAGTGGTGGTGTCCACTCTGTCAGTGTCTTCTGTTTGATGAAACAGTGGTTTTTATTTATTCCCTTTGATGTTACTTTTGTTTTGATCCAGAATTAGAATCATAGGAAGTTAGGGTTAGAAGGGACCTCAGGAGGTCATCTAGTGCAACTCCCTGCTCAAAGTAGGACCATCCCAGCCAAAGATTTATCTAGCTGGGTTTTGAAAGCCTCCAAGGATGAAGCTTCCACCAACTCTCTGGGTAACCTGTTCCAGTGTTTTATTACCCTCCTAGTGAGAAAATTCTGCCTAATATCTAACCTAAACTTCCCTTGCTGCAACTTGAGACCATTGCTCCTTGTTCTGTCATCTGCCACCACTAAGAAAAGTCCAGCTCCATCCCTTTTTTAATCCCTTTTCAGGTAGTTAAAGACTGCTATTATATCCCTTCTCACTCATTTCTTCTCTAAACTAAATAAGCCCAGTTCCCTCAGTCTTTCCTCAGAAGTCATGACCACCAACCACCTCACCATTTTTGTTGCCCTCCGCTGGACCCTCCAATTTGTCCACATCCTTTCTGTAGTGGAAGGCCCAAAACTGAACACAGTACAGGCAATCCTCAACTTACAAGGTTTCGAGTTACAATGCTTCGCACTTACAATGTTTATAAATTGACACCCTGTTTCAACTTTCTGACGTCAGTTTCGACTTTACAACACTTGATCTGACCTAATGCCATGCCAGCGAACAAGTTTGTTGCATCGCCCATCTCCCTGGAGAACATCTGTCCATACTTCCTTGGACACTTTCTTTAAGAAAGCAGACAAGACTCCAGAAAAGCCTGCAGCCAAGAGTCCTGAGAAGACTCCGGCCGCGAACCTTTCAAAAAGTCCAACCAAGAGCCGTTCAAAAAGTCCAGCAAAGTCACCTCGAAGAAGTTCTTCCAAATCAATATGATTGCTATTTACAATAGAAATACATTAATGTAGCTCTACTACTCATCTATAATTGATTCAGTACAATATTCTGGGTTATTTTTGGTGAAAATAGAGTATCGGGCCTTCATTCAGAAACCAATCCCCCATTTATAGCATTGTTTCCTATGGGAAAATTGGTTCTGAGTTACAACTTTTCGACTTAAGACACGGCTTTCAGGAACCAATTTTGTCGTAAGTCTGAGGACTGCCTGTACTCCAGATGTGGCCTCACCAGTGCCGAATAGAGGGGAAGAATCACTTCCCTTGACCTGCTGGCAACACACGTACCAATGCATTCCAGTATGCTGTTAGCCTTCTTTGTAACAAGGGCACTCCACTGGCTCATATTCAGCTTATTGTCCATCATAACCCCCAGGTCCTTTTCCACAGAGCTGCTGCCCAGCCAGTCAGCCCCCAGTCTGTCCTGGTGCATGAGATTGTTCCATCCTAAATGCAGGTCTTTGCACTTGTCCTTGCTCAACCCCATGAGATTCCTTTTGGCCTAATCCTCCATTTTGTCTAAATTACTCTGAATCTTAGCCCTACCCTCCAGTGTATCTACTACTCTCCACAACTTGGTGTCATCTGCAAATTTGCTGAGGGTGCACTCCATACTTGCTGGTCTTCCTGCACATCAGGATGGTTTGTTCCTGCACTCTCAATAAGGCTTCCTTGAAGTACTGCCAGCAATCCTGGGCTCCTCTCTAGGCCTGTGTGAATAGAGAAGTATTCGATTCAGATTTGGATTCGGCCAATTCGGAGGACAGTGATTTGATTCAGAGATTTGGATCACTGTCCCGAATTGATTCAGCCAAATCAGGGTTGGAAAATTTGGTGCTGATTCGGCCATAGACTATAATGAGGAATCAGTGAAATACCTATAACTGTCATTTTTTGGCAGATTTGGATGAAAACAGCAGGGATGGTAGCCCCTTCTGAGGGCATGATGCCTGTCAAGTTTCAAGGAGATAGGTATAGGGGTTTCTGGGAAAACTGCTGAAAGCAAAATTTGTGTCACTTGTGTGTGTTAAGGCAGATTTGGATGGAAACAGCAGGGATGGTAGCCTGTAAAAGGGGGCCTTCCCGGTGCTGGTTAGATCTCTGCCCACACACCTGTTTCTGGGCCAGCCGCCCTCCCCTCTTTTCCCCAGGCAGGAACAGCTCACAAAAGGGACAGAAAGGATGCAGACAGAGGCTTATTTGCTGTTTCTATGCCCCTCCTCCAGAGCACTGTGATTGGGAAGGGGTCTCAGGGAAAGATCACAGCCACTGGCCAGCTACAGATGTCAGTCTTTCCCCACTGCTCCCCCTCCCTCTTCTCAGTTTCTGTTCCCCTGAAAGACTGCATTCTGAATCTACAAATCTTTTTCTGAATCTTTTCCAAATTGATTCAGAGGGTCCGAATCAATTTGGAGGGTATTTTTGGTCTCCCAATTCAATTCAGATGTGGTGATTTGGCCTCCAAATTGGGCCAAATCTTCTGCAAATTGAATCGGCACCTGAAGCTTCGCACACCCCTACTCCTCTCCCCCTTACTTCCCAGGGGATCTTGCCCATGAGTTCCCTGAGTGAGTCAAAGTCTGCTTTTCTGAAGTCCAGGGTCCTTGCTCTGCTGCTCTCCATTCTTCTTTTCCTTAGGATCATGAACTCAATCATCTTGTAGTCACTGCTGCCCAAGTTGCCATCCACTATACTACATTCCCCACCAAATCTTCCCTGTTTGTGAGCAGCAGGTCAAGAAGTGCATGGCCTCTAGTTGGCTGCTCCAGCACTTGCACCAGAAAGTTGTCCCCAGTACTCTCCAAAAAATTCCTGGGTTGCCTGTGCACTGCTGTATTGCCCTCCCAGCAGTAATCTGCATGTAATCAAGCCTGTGGTGATAGAATCTTGGAGAAATGGAATTTGCAATCTCAGTTTCCAGCTCTCTTATTGCTTGATAAAATAGGGGCTGCAGCTTCATTTATTCCAAGAAGCAGCTGTGTGTCACCAGAATAAGAGCTTCATGTTGCATAAAAGCTAAAATTATCAAACTTTCTAAGAATAGGGGTGCCTAATTCTGACTACTTTTCATGGAAATTTGGCATCCAAATCACTTAGATGCCTTTAAAACTCTCAGCCAAATTATTCAGCATCAACTGAGATCAAAACGAACTTGATATTTGCGAACCAGAAACATCATTGCACTGAAGGAAAAGTATCTGACATTGGGCTCTCAAGAGTGATTATACTAGTCGGGGCTAACCTTTTGAGAAGGCATGCCACAAATTAGCCCCAAGCCCTCCCTGTGTGCCACTCTGATCCCCTTCCTCTGCCTGATTTGCTGCTTTGCTTTCTGCTCTCTGCCCTATCTCCCACTGTGCTGCCTGTCCCATTCTCAATCAGCCACATGCCACAAAGAGAAGCTGCTCATGCCACGTATGGCACATGGGCTTCAGGTTAACCACCCCTGATTTACACCATGCCTTTATTTTATTTCTGTGTGAGCACCCACCAGTTCAATAGGTTTAGACTCTAATGAAGCAGCTGTAAATGTCAGAATTCAAGAGTCTTGAGGATCTGTGAGTAATTCACAATTTATAACTTTGAGGAGTTTCCCACATTTATTTTCCCTCCCTTCTGCGGAACCCCTACCAGCTCACTTTGGTTCTAGTTTTGACACTATTGATAGTAGTTTCACATCGAAGTGAGCAGACGTGAATTCTGGCACCTCTTGAATGTAATGGCTGTCATTGTTTGACAAATGGACTCAGTTTTGTTCCAAGTAGTCACAAACCATGGCCAGATTTGTTAGAAATATTTCATAAACCTGTAGAGCTGTCAGGTGAATAGATAGGTATAAATCTCCTGCAGTATCACATAGTAAGAAGACAGAGAAAACTAAGACTCACTTAACCCTGTCCATTTCTTCCTCAGATAAATGACCAGCTAAAACTAAAAGTACTTGGTCAAAACACCATGACAGTTTTTTTTACCTCTTTGGGTGAGACCATCCATCTGTCTCTGTCAAGATCTGCATGCCCACATGCATGCAAAGTTGACAAACGGGTAAGGAACAGTTGTAGAGGCATGAATGTCATCAGGTTCAGTGGTATAACAGTACACCACTAACTGCTAACCAATTTTAAATCCATTAACCAACCATTTTATGTTAAAGGTAACAAAAATATTGTTATTTCCATTGACCTTATTGAAGCCAAACGTATTAGCAGTGATAAAATATAGACAAATTGAACCAAACATGAAACCTGCTTGTACATCAGGGACTATTAGAAATTGGCATTTATCTCTTCATCTGTCCCTCAAGCTTTCCAAAGATTCTTGGTCACCATCAGGCACAAGCCCATAGTAACTGCAGGGTCTCCTCTACTAGCACAGGAATGATTTGCAGGGAACTGGGATATCAAATGTTGAGTTTCTAAGGGAGGACTATTATTTTACATCCATTTGCTTTATTTTTTTTCATATGATTTTGCACTTTTTGGTTATGAGGTGGACCAGAAGGAGAAATAGTCCATCAGAAGTCTTGCTCCCACATTTTGGATATACCCAGCACATCCAAGTAATTGTTTTGCTGGGTTTGCACTTGGTACAAAGGGGAGAGGGCCAAAGGTAGCTCTAGATACCTCTGTGAGGCTTATCTTGTCATGTTGTGCTTCGTATGTATTTGTTGTGCTCTACACGGTTATTCTGTCAGCTGAGGACAGCTAGAGCACAATACATCTCTTGCTGTCATCCAGCCTTATCTTTGTTCCTGACAAAATCACCTACATTGTTGTGTGGGGAATGATAGTTGGTAGCCAGTTCTGTACCAGCTAAAGGATCCCTGTACATTGGCTTTCTGGTTACAGTCCAAAGACACATGGGGAGATTTAGCTTGTGCACTCCTATGCACACTCAAGCCCCTAAGTGAGGTATAAGCAGCCTATTTCTAAGGTATATGGGACACGTCTACATGTGCTATTAATCTGAAGTAGGTTTATTGCTCAGTAAAAGTACTGCACAGCAAGTCTACATGGGACCATGTCTACACATGCTCTCTCTTGGGAGCAGATTTGCTCCCAATGGGAGCAGCCCAGTATAGAGTAGCTTGCACCCTCCTCTGCCCCCCTGCAGCAGCCAGGGCGAGCTCCATGCTCTCTCCCCCACCCCTCCCTGCGCTAGCCTTAGGGCTGGCAAGAGGCACAGGGTGGTCTTAGTGGGCATGGGGCTAAGAGAGCTCTGCCAGCTGCAGCAGCAGCTGTCTCCTGGCCCCTTGCACATCAGGAAGGGACCTGATGCCACGAGAGATCTGACCCTTGCAGTGGGCAGAGCTCTCCTGGCCCCATGCACATCCGGATATACAGCTGCGTGGAGCTGGCTGCCCTGAGGAGCAACCAGGGGCTGGGAATCCAGCTCTGGGGGGAGCCAGGGAGCTGTGGACAGAGAGCTCCCTGTGCTCTGTGGCCCCCAGCTGGCTAGGCTGACTGGGAGCAAAATTTGCTCCTGGCTAGCATCTACACGTGTTTTACTGTGCAGTATCTACTGCACAGTTAGTTTACTACCTGTATGTATAGGTAGTAGCTTACTGCTCAGTAGACTAACTTACTGCACAGTAAATGTGAACACATGTAGATGGTGATGCTTTACTGTGCAGTAGACTAACCTACTGCACAGTAAAGCGTCTCATGTAGACACACCCATGATGTCATATATTTGCAGTTCTTAGACTGGGAGCCTTCCTATGACGACTGGCATGGAAAGTGGCTAGTGCACTGTGGGTAATACAATAATGCTAAACCTTATTTACCTACTAACTGATTAGCTAAAATTTGGGGCCCTGTGGTTTGTTTCCAAGAGAAAATTAATTTTGTAGTTGGGTGTCTTTCATACAGTCCTGTACTCACAAAGCATATGCCAAGTCCTTTTCCATGGACAAGGAGGACTAATAAAGGAGAAGTCCTTTGTTCACAGCTGTAAGCTTCTTTTAGCTAGCACTCTCTCTGTCAAAGACACTCCCTCTCTGCGGGCCAGAAAAGCCTCTGTGCATATTTCAGGCGCTTCCTTGCTGCTTTCTTTTCTTTTGCTGATCTTTTTCCATTTTTCTCTCTCAGACCCCTGGACAAACATAGCTTCTCCAGTAAATGCCTCTACCAGTGCGTTTGCTGCATCCGTTCCTAGGAAAACCCCTTGGGGCCACACATTTCAGCTCCTAGAAAAGTCTTGTTTCCAAAGGATCCTATTGTTGTCCACCTACATGGCTACATAAAGGAACGCAGTGATTACTTTACTAGTTCCTGAATGGAAGATAGGTCTTGCTGAGGTTATCGGGTGCAACAGCCAAATCAACCTACGCCAGAACAATTCCTCTATAAGAATTTACAGTATTTTCTACTGGATGGCAGATAGTGCTCCTAGCATTTTCATGAAATGGGCTGTTTTCTTCCAATCCCCAGACTAGTTTCCAGATCAGAGAAGTGTACGTAAGTCATGGCACATGTTTTATCCACCCTCTCATATTCACTGCTAGCAAAATTTACTGCCCCACCTCCAACACAAGTCTCTTGCATGAGTGATATCCTGTGTAAGGGCTATGAGTGAGGATTACAGGATATATTTATAGTAAATGGGATAAATTCATGTAATCAGCCGGAATAAGTCTTATACAAGCTCTCTATACTGACGGGAATTTCATTCTGAGCTAATGGCATTTTACTCCCCTGTGCTTGCAGATCCTTTTATCCAGGGTTTTTTTGCTTATCAGCAAAAGCAAACACCATTTTTAGAGGAAGTAGAAAAACAAAGTATCCCCCTATTTTAAAAATATATGCGACACTGGACCTTTTTAAATTGCTTCCCAAGGCTCCCATTGACCTTTGAAGAGTAACCCCTTGGAGTTATATTGAAACTTGTCTTGAAGGCAGCCCTGTCTTGTAAGAGCTCATTCCCAGGTTCTTTCTTAAATATTTATATAGTGGATGCACTTTTGTAGACAGACAACCTTTCAATTAAGATGCTTTATTAGCCCAAAGGCTGCCTGCACAAGGTTGGGTGAGTGACATATTTCTTAACCATCTGATGTTAATTGGGGAAGCCTTTACATTTGGAATTCGTTGACGTCTCTAGTGGCATTTTGGTTTTACTGCTTCACTTCTTAAAAACCGATAAAATAAAAGGGCTTATTCATCATGCAAGAAAGACAATTGCCACCTTAAAATACAAGGGTCGTGGCAGATGCATATATTTTTCTCCTTGCCGCTAACAACTTAGGTAGCAAAGGCTGGAAAAAAAATGTTTGACATCCCATTTACTTGTTACAAGTCCTGTTTGGTGATGCTCTGGTTTATAAGCAGTTTCACTTTGGGGTTCTCAGTGCTGAAAAGGGAAGTCTTGGGGAAAACATTTATTTGCTGGGAAAGCATGTGATTAGCACTGGAATTAAAAGGTGGGAAAATGCTGGCACCTGTTTAGCAGGATGAGGTTTAGCTCCATTTCCTTTGATGGTGTCCACTTAAACCCTCTGATTAGGTGTGCAAGGCAAGCTTCATTTTCCTGTATCTGAGAACAAGCCAGACCCTCATCTCATGCATAATAGTGCATCTCTACTGACTTCAGAGAAATAAAGGACACAAGACTCAAAAGGACTTATGGAGCCATTGAGCCCCTGATATCACATGCAGTAACGTAATAGCATCCCATTTGTAAACTGATTAAGCTCCATTTTTCGAAGGGCTTTGGAGGCTCTTCTCCAGCTGGAAGGGTCTTTCAACTTCTGATAGTTAGAATTTAGTTTACACCAGTTGAGGATCTCTCCTGTTTACATAGAGGCTGGACAGTCTGGCTAACCTTCAAGGCGGCATCACTTCACATTGAACTGATATAGATATATATATATATATTCAGTCTATAACAGTCAATGACTTGAATCAGTCATGGTTCAAGGTTATATACCCAAGTTTTATATTAGGAACATTGCATACACACACACACACACTTTCTTATTATTACCAAGAGATATTTGCATTCAATAGGCTGCAGCCTTCCTGTGTCCACACTGTTTAATAGCAGAACACACATGCTTCAGTTGTCTCTTTCCAATAAGATGTAAAAAGAGCAAGTTTGTTAAACCCTAGTAATTCAGAAAAATTCTGAGAATCCCATGTAATGGGAAAAGAAAGAGGCACAGCAAGAAAACAATGTAACTAGCTAATTTACTTTTAATGTCATACGCTCACTACAAAATTATGAGTGTATTATTAGAAAAGGAAGTGATTGGAAGAGAAGATAAGTGTGAGGGGACCATCTAGTCATCCCCGGTTTGGAACAGTTTCTCAACTAAATGGGCAAAAGCGATGTTCCTAATGTAAGACTTGGGTATATAACCTTGAACCATGACTGATTCAAGTCATTTACTGTTATAGACTGAATCACAACAAGCATGGTGCCCACCTACTGCACTAGCAACCTGTCAGTCCTGGGGTTATTAGGAGTTTGAAGTATTGGAAGCAAGGTACTGTTCTAACAAAAAATGTTGAATTTCTTCTTTTACTCTTTAAAGGGATTTTCAAAAACCAGCAATATTGAAGAGAGTGAACACCAATTAAAGAGAGCCTTGGTAGAGATTAAGAAGCGATTCCAGAGGACAGTGAAACAATTTATAAATGCCATTTTGATGGCTTCAGGTATGCTCCTTTTCTGTTGAGTTCCAACAAAGTGCTCTGTGCTCCACATAGGTATAATAAGTTCAGATTCTTGCCCCCAAAACTTTGCAGGTTGACTCAGACACCTGTTAAAGCAAGGGGGAGGTAATAAGACCGCAACAGTGGAGAAGTTGGGAAAGATCTTTCCTGAACAGCTTCCTGGAAGAGACAGAGTAAAAAGGAAAGAACAAAGTGGGTGTTGAGGGGAAGGTGAAGATAGCTGAGCAAGGGCAGAAACTAGGAAGATAGACACATCCTCTGTGACTAACATTTGTTACACATGTCCTGGCTTTTCAACCTCTGCACACCCAACCTCAGTTCTGCATGAAGTTCTTTTTTTGCATGTTTTACCATCTTGAATAGTATTGGTCATGTTTAAGTAAGAGTATGAGGAGCTATGTGAACCAACAAGTTCCTCCATGACCCATTCATCTTTGGAGATCTACTTAAAATGTTTCCCTTCCTCTCTGAAAAGGCTTGTCTGGTGAACAAACCTCACTGTCACCTCATAAAATCATGCAACTCAAGGGTGAATGAGCAATGTGTACTTATTTTTGAAAAGCTAAGAGCATCTAGTATGTGCTGCCAGTTTAAGCCACTCATACACAGATTCTCAGAAACAGCAATAATTATTGTGCTTCCATGACTGCTTAAACTAGTGGCTCTCAAGTTTTTTAGACACAAGGGACCCCTAGATATATTCAAGGCACCCCTTGGAAAATGCCAGCTCTTAGCTTGCACTCTTTTTTGCCTACAGAAAAATAATACAGCATTTTTTCTGTTACAAATAACTCAAACCCAAACATTTCAAACAGAAATCCATAGTTGTAGTCTTTCTATCTTGTGAATCACATTTGTAAACCTAAGAGTACTAACATTGTGTGGATCCCTTAGATCTCAAGGCACCCCAAGGTGTCATGGCAACTCTGGCTGAGAATCACTGGCTTAGACTCTGAAGGTGAATGACCAAACAAGCACTGTGATTGCATGCATTTCCATGACCATTGATAGAGATAGAAGCTGGAGTCATGAAAACTGAAAACACATTCTTCTCCCTACAACTGAAGCTAAGAAAAATTTCTCAGAAGTGAATCCTGAAGTGTTGGCTTTGGGTTTTGGTTGGCAGGTTTATATTCTATAGAATATCCAGTCCTACAAAGAGCAAAGCAAATGAAGTTCAAAACAAAGGCAGTGTCACCTCAGACCTGGACTCAAGGAGTGAAAGAAAAGGATGCTTCAGTGGCTTCAGATACAAAAAGACCTCAAAAACCCTCAAGCAGACAAGCTGAACAAAAGACATCATCTTCCAGGCTTTCTAGCAGAGCAGCTGATAAAGGCAGATCTCACCTGGCTATCATGACACAACCGAAGCCTGCACCAAGGTTTGCTTGGAAATGCACTCCCTTTCCCTGCTTGGGGGTTAGGACAGAGTGTCCTTGTGATTTGTGGGGTTACAAGTTGTTTTTATCAATTAAGCAGTTGGCAGAATTTTATTGAATTCTTTGGGTCAAATCCTCACCTGGTGTTTTTTGGTGTAGTGCTCTCAGTTTCAGAAGTCTGCTGACTGGCACATCTACATGTGCCATTAATGTGCAGCAATAAACCCCGGAGCTTATTACTCCAGGCTTTATTGCTCCCAGGTACACCATTTACACATGCACCCTGACAGCAGCACATTGAGCCCAATCAGAGCAGCCCTGGCTGGCAGAGGGCCCAGCGGGTCAGCCTGCCAGGCTGGGGCTTTTCTGACTGGACTCAGCGTGCTGCGGTGGGTCTGGCCGAGGCACGGAGGTGCTTCAGCACAGGGCTAGCTGGCACTACACTACATGTGCACTGTTGCACAAGAAAAAACTCTATAGCAGGATAGCACTTGTATTTACAGGTATTACCCTACTGTGGAATTTATTCATTTCCCGTGCCCCAAATAGGGCCTCACATGTAGACGTTGAGACATTTACTGTGGAGCTAATTAGTTAGCCCCTCAATAAACATCTTGTGTAGACACGCCACTGAGTATCTAATTCTTTAGGTTAAGTAAAGAGCACATTGAGACTCCATCTTACCTTCTTTTTCAGCATACTCCTCTTTTCTTGTTTAAGTTTACATTAGTGTTACCAGCTATTTTGTGCATTTACTCCTCAGTGAAGAGATGAAGGATCATTCCCATAGTGAACTGACTCAGGTTGATATTATACTTATATTCCAGGGCTTCTTTGCACCACATTCCTGAAGGATCATGACTTGCAATGGGAAAAGCATGGTGCATTTTCTGACTCCTCCAATGATCAAACTCCCTTTGATCTGGAGCAGTATGGTGCCTTTAAGTAGAGGCAGTATCAAAATGCAAAATGGGGAACCAGGAACTTCTTTTGCAAAGTTTCTGATCTTGAGATTAAAGCTTTTAAAGCCCATGTCTGTCTTGAGTGGAGATTAATACCCATGAGTCCAATCTTGACTTTTTAAAGGGTCAGATTTTCATGTGATCCACTTTTTCTCAACCACAGTTTTCTTTGCAATGTTTCAGACACGCTATAGCCTCCATTTTAAACCATGAGAACTGTGTCCTGCATTTAACTAGTACCTATCTTTTCATTCAGTTGCATAAATATCTATTCCACATTGGGTGCATCTAAAAGAGATGCTATGTTGCCATAGCAATGAGCTATGGTGATGTAACTCATCACTATAGTGACGTAGCATCGGCAGGCGCTAACCAAGATGCCGCTAGTACTGTGCAGTATCAATGAGCTACTTGCACAATAGCTTGTTGCTACTGTGCACTAGGGTCAGAAATGACCTATGTGCCACTGGGACTGCGCAGTTCCAGTAGGTACTGCCCAGTCATTTAGTGCTTGCTGCTGCACAGTAAGCTACTACTTTAGCAAATAATAAATGACTACGCAGTACCAACTGCACAGTGGGGTGCACATGTAGACATACCCACTATGTCATGTTATAGTCTCTTATTTCACTAAAATTATTATCATCCACCTTGCAGGGTTGAAATTGTTGCAGCTGGAGATAAGCACTCTCCCAGTGCATGGGCTTCCTCTATGGCTGACTGCCCTATTGTGCTTCGGAAGCTGCTGACCAAAGAAGACACTGGACCAGGCTGCAAGTGTATTGTGAAAATCCCATTTGTTACAGACTTGGAGTTTGACAAGTTTATCTCAGCCCCCAGAAAGTCCGATCAGATCCTGGTGATCTTTGTCTTCTCATCCCAAAGTCCTGCCTGTTCTCCCATCTTGGAGGAGACCTTACAGAACCTGTACATAGAAAAACAGCATGGGCGCCCATCTCCATGCATTCAGGTAAGTTAGGATCAGGAATAAAGAACAGGAAATCAGTGCATCAGTGATCCCCACTGACCGAAAGGTAAAGCAGGTATAGTTCTAGTGAAAAATGCTGGACTGTCAGTGCTGGAGATGGAAGCACTTTTCATGGAGAGTGGACAGCATAGATGTCAGTCATTCAAGCACTGTCATTCTCCCCACAACCAACCACTGTACCCAAATCGTGTCCTAGGGTGAGAAGAAGACAGTTCTAGGGGCGAAAGTAAAGTTCAGTTTCCTGCATTATTAACTGTTAAATTACATTTGGACCCTAAACTGCTTGACATTTTCCCTTGAGATAATGATGGTGAGGCTTTTGGCCCATATTTGTTCACCCATCACTGTCACTGATATGACAACATGCGCAAATATGGTGGAAGAAATGTATAAGCAACAAGCATTTCCATTCCAACTGCTACTAGGAAAATACAAGTACAGGAGCTGTCCTCACGCTGCACAGACTAACCGCCGGGGTGTGCTGTTGCTCTATTAGAAAGAACTGCAGGTGCCTTTAGCTAACTGATCACTATGGGGCACTACTGCTGCTTCAAACCCAGTTGCAAATGCGATTCTGTGTCTATAAGGAAATTGCCCTTAAGGATAGCAGCTCAAAAACTGTCTCCAGTCCAATTCAACTGGACAAGGGATGCTGCAATATCTCTGTTGTGCAGTCAAGTTAAAAATATCCGCTTTATAGGCAAAAGAGAGAATCGGATACATTCCTGGATTAGGCTTTTTGAGAGCAAAAGTCACTGAAATCACTGCAGGCTGACTTAATGATAGAGTCGAGTGAGGTTCACTCCATCATATGCAGTGCAGACAGGAGACTGGGAAATGGCATTTCAATGTGAGAGTTCAGAGCTAGCATACTGCAAACTCTGTTTCTAAAGATTTTGAAATGACAGCATTAAATGTTGGCCTGAATTCCAAAAATATTGATGTGAAGCGTTACAGTCCTGTATGCATCTTTGTGTGAAGCCTGAGATTCCTTGTATTTGCTTATTTGGCAAATAGATAAGTCTGGTCATCTAGTGAGGAGGGAAAAGTAATATAATCAAAAGGTATTTCAGATATCGCAAAGGCTGCTTAAATGAAATTTCTTTTGCTTTAGTGCTTGCAGAGCCCAGCCTAATGTGATTTTGTATCAGGCCCTAAAGCAGCCAAGTCATTATACAGTTTTCTCATAAAACTCCTACTCCTACCAAACAGAAATGAAAATGGAAATCAATAAAATCTTTTCAAACATTAAAACAAAAGCCCTACCCTGATTTTTATCCCACAGAAAGGAGAAGTGCCAGAAACTCCATGAAGTCCATTAAGGACTTTGCTGTTCACAAATGTATATGGAAGGTGATAGGAAGCAATAGAAAACACCACAATCGTTAGATATCAACCTTATCTTCTGCAAAAAAGACATCACAACAGTTCATTTAAACAGCATTAAATCATAGTAGTGTAGATGAAAGCTACATTAGATAATGGATTACAATGTATATTTACTATATATACATCCACCATCCTCTATGATCTCTAGATACGAAGACTACAATGTGCTTTGACCTTCAACATTACACTGGTGAAATCATATGCTTTCCTTTACTTCGGTCCAGGTTTAAATCCCTTGGACCATTTTTCCTGATAGACATGTCTGTTAGGGGGTGGGGGTGGGGAGGGGAAAAGCTGTTTCTATTAAGGGAAAGCTTAAGCAAACAAACCAAATAGGAAACTTTCAAGAACAAACATGTTTTCAAAGATAGGGATTTTCCTTCCCACTTCTGGTTCTTTATGATGTACACGAAGGTCTGAAAGTGTGTTCTGAAGGAGATATTCCTGCTTGTTTGTTTCTTTGCTCATTTTGCTAGAGGACCTCTTTAACAATTTCAGAGTTGTATACTATTCAATAAGATCTTATACATTATAAAAGGGGGGGTATTGAATCACTTAACAGTCCTTCCCCTCTGCAAAATGTTTATCATCCATTGGCATTAAGGTGGTGTTTACCAAATCCAGATATAAACAGATAGTCCCAGCCCCCCTTAATTGCTCAGATAGTAGAGTGATAGCCAGCCGTCTGAAGTCAATGCCTTTTCCTTTCCTTCTCGTGATATCATAACTTTACTAGTTTTCCAATCATCACTGAGATTCCCTGGGTGACCTACTAAAAACCTAAAATGAGAAGGGAGAAAACATCTTATAATTATTTTCAGGCTTCCTTTATGCCTCATAAAGGCATAAAAAAGGACACAACCCAATATGTATTTTTTTTGTCTGCTGCAGCTTCAGTGTTCATAGTCTCTCTGGTGGGTGAAAACTAGCCCGAGAAATATGGGTACCTGATAGGACTTGCCATGGCCTGAAAGGAAATGCTGGGTAGGCCTGTGTGAAGCAGCTAGTATTCGTTTTGGATTCGGCCGATTTGGGGGACAGTGATTCAAATCGGTGATTTGAATCACTGTCCCTATTCAATTTGGCCAAATCTGATTCGGAGCAGCCGAATCTCCGAATCAGCCAGGCCAGGCCCATCCCATCCCCTGCCCCTCTCCCAGCCTAGCAATGGCTGCCCCGCCTGCCCCAGCTCCCAGCACTTGGGGGGGGAAAAAAGCCCCATCTCAGCAGGTGCTGTCGGTGGGGGCGATCCCCGCTGCCCCCCACTACCCCACGCTGCATGTGCTCCTAGTCAGCTGTCTACACATGCCTTACTGCACAGTAACTACGTGGCAGTTAATTTAATACTTGCATTTGCAGGTAGGAAACTAACTGTTGAGTAGAGCAAATTACTGTGCTGTAAAGGTCTGCACATGTAGACAGTGATGCTTACTATGCGGTAATTTGGCCACTGTATACTGTGCAGTAAAGTGTCTTGTGTAGACGCACTTGCTGTATACCTAACCCAGGCATTTTAGTTGAACCATTATTGCTAACAATGCAGAAAATACCCTGACCTGGGTTCAGAGGTGGTTTTAGTTTGGACTAGTCTAGTCAGTTGGTGCTGTAAGACAGAGCCTGGATGCTACTATCCCAAGGAAAAAAATCACTTGAGTGATTTCTAAGGGGAAATCACAGGCAAAAATCACTCAAATGCTAATCATTTGCCAATGCCCTCCCATAGTTCCCCTGGAAAACCAAGCAGATTCTTGGGCAATTAACTGTGAAGGAACTATAGAGCATCTCAGCACAAAGAACTATGAGATATGCCCCCAAAATGACATGGATGAGAGACATAGGAGCAAGGACATAGTAATGGGATTGCTGTGAGAATGGTCAAATCCAGGTTGACTAAGCCTTGAAGACAGAACCTAGAGAGCTAGAGTGGGCACAGCACTTACAAACACCGATAGGGAACAATCCCTGTACATCAGTAGGATGGTGGGCAAAAATCACTTACCTCCCTTTCCCATTGTTAAATTCAGTTATTCTACCTTTTCAATTGTTTAATGACAGTAACTAATATCTGGGCTTCAATTTGACACTGAAACCTCAGGGGAGATCCCAGAGATTCCTGGAAGGAATGACTATGTTTGTCCCATTCCAGTGCAAACATGACTCTTACCGTCTGTTGCGGTATGACATGGACAGCTCCGCAAGACAACAGCCACCGCTACTTGTGCAGAAGCACGCTGTCACCCCAGGGATGGTGCTGGTAAGTGTAATGCAGTCATTCATATATATAATACATCATGAAGACATAAAATGCTACCTGGCCGCCAACTTCAGAGTAAATGAGACTGATTACCAGCATCAGCCTGAAGAGCAGAAATGACTGACTTATAGAAACAGATGTTTCTTGACTCCAAATTATGATAATCCTGGAAAAGATGCTGTTTTAATGTTGGAGGAAAGTTTCTTTACAAGGAGGAGAGATGGGCCCCACAAGGTTTGGATACAGATGCAAACTCAAACTTCCCTAGCATCTACCTGAATCAGATCCATTGTCTCACGGTTCACTGCTGTCTTGCAAAGCCAGCCCAATCCACTTTGTTTGGATTTTAACTTTTCCAAAGATTCAAGGGGGTTGAATGCAATGTCTATCAGGAAGTCAAAGCCATATAAAAGTGGTTCTTCCAGTGTCCATATGAATATTTTTCTCTGTCCACACATTTTTCCAAATCAGGAGCTGAGCATGGAATAGACGATTGTCTAATCTGACGAACAACAGAACCATCTTGTTCAGTCACCAGTTATATTGCTGTTGACTCATGAAGTCGTTTGGGTTTTGCTTTTACCCATAGTGCATCCCTTCACATAGGAGCTTTTGTCCAAAAGGCTCTCTGAGCACAGATTTAAAGTGACTTCTGCTCTATATTAGGTCTCTCTTTACCCATCCTTGATATGGAGCTACCTCAGGGATAGAGTACATCAGTCTTTCATGCTCTATAGAAATGTCACTATATATTTTAGGACAGGAACTAACTAAAGACTAACGTATCTGCATGTACCTACAACAGCAGGCTAAATTGGCAGAATGCAGTTATGTAAATGTGGTTTGGCTTATGCTGATTATTGTGAAAAGTTCCAAGAAGTTTTTAATGCTCTCAGGTGAGTTTGTCCCAGCAGAGCAATGGGTCTGATTGTGAAATGCTCCCTCTGGGCCTGACACTGTGCTGCAGAAGTCAATACCAGTACATCTATTGTTTTCAGCATTGCGAGATAATGAACAACGTTTTGCTTTTGATGTCCTTGATCTAGCCTAACAATTTACCACATAAGTATCCCCATAAGGATACTCACTTCTGATTGCACAGTTAGCCCTGAAACATCCAACAGGGGACCCACTTAGGAAAAATAAATGCCACATCACAAAAGAAGTTAGTGTTCATAAAATATTCCAAAAAAAAAAAGCCTTATGGGAAAAATCTCATGTTCACTTGAGTAAGAATTTTCACTGATAAAGACTTCAGACTTTTGCCTTCAATATTTATATTCTAAACTCATTTCTATTAACACTGATTCTTCAGCTGTTCTAGTCTATAAATGTGCCAGTCCATCAGTATGTGGGCTATTCCTAATCAGCTGATGAGTGTAAATAATTGCATCAACCCCTTCTAATGTCCAGCCAAAACCTTGCACACGCCCAGTCTCAGCTAGCACATGGCACTTTCCATAGATTACACAGTTTACAATGAACTTTGTTGCATGAGATAGCCCACGAAATAAGCACTAGCTCCATTTTGCAAACAGGGAAATGGAGATACAGAGAAATTAAAGTCCACATCACACTTCAAGCCACTGACAAATTAGGAAAAAATATCCATTTTCCAATGTCCTGTTTTATGCAGAATAAATACTATGATACTGAATGACTAGGAGTAGTCACTGCTTTGGGCAGGGTCATTTATAATGAAGCATAGTTCACTTATTGGGAGTTCTGGCTCTTCTATTGAGATGTTTTTATATTGGTCCATTGAAAGAGGTGCCAAGTTAGATAACACCCATAGAAGAGGCAAAGCCTTTAATGAATGCCTTGCTGTGTTCTAATACAGCTTCTTTACAGCCTTTTAAATCTTTGACTACAGAAGTGTAATGATTTTGTCTCCCTGGACTGACAGTCGAAGGAATTAGAACAGTTCTGAGGCTATTCTTCATTCACTTTAGCAACAAGAAGCCATTGGATGCCTTCCTCAACACAGTTAATCTTATTGTTAACATACAGCCTTGATGTACAGACAAATACGACAGCAAGGTCAGAACAGAGGTCATTGCCAAAGCATTTGAAGTTCATGACATGGTTTCACTAAAAGGACTTGGATTCCTGTAACCAAGCTGTTATTGCCAAAACTTCTTCAGAGAAAGGAGCTAAAGGAAGGGCTGAAAGTCTAATGACAGATTTTTCAAATAACATTTTGATCATTGCCTGACATAAGTCAAATTAAAACACAAGGAAGGGATCTTGTGAAAAGAAAGAGATGGCTGAAAGGGGCAGAAACATTGAGAACAGCAGATCTGGCCAAGGAAAGAGTAAATTTAGTGGTTGGATCACAGGGCTGGTAGTCAAGTGATCTGGGTTTTTATTCCAGCTGTGCTAACTCACAGAATGTCCTTGGACAAGCCACTTAACCTCTGGACCATGGTTGCTCCATCTATAAAATGGGAGAATACTAGTTCAGTGTTGTCTAAGGAGTTGTCTGACGTCTATGAATGATAGATGCTGAAGAAGTGCCACTGATAACAATTGTACAATGGCATAGGAAGCACAGTAAGTTGCAAAACTGCTATACCTATTTATTTTTCCATCTATATGGTGCATACCACCATGTCTAGTCATATCCCTAAGTCTAGCTCTGATACACCCTTTCCGTGCCCCAGAATCGTTTAACTTTGCTGCCAGCTGTACACATGTCTGCCCCTGCGAAATGTGCCAAATCTTGTCAGAGGATTTAGAAAGCACTGCGTGGGCAGTGGCAGCAAAGGCGTGTCTAGGAGAGGTCAGTTGGTCTGCCAGGCTGGGCAGCATATCAGGATTTCTTCCTGGACAAATCTCACAGTTTGAAAATGTGTAAATGCCTCTTGATAACAGCTGTCTTGTTGGGTATCATGTGCTGTGCTGAATAGCTGAGCTGAGCTAATGCAGAGACCTGGACTAGAAAGAAAAGTCAGAAGCCTCATAGAGGAGGAGAATGTTACTTGGGCGAGTTTGAGCAGACCAAGCTGGCACTTTAACTTCTTCCAATCTAAGTGACCTTCCCTGACTCCCATATCTACCAGGGCAGTCAGACAGACTGGCTGGAAATGCAGCGTTACCTTTCTGAGCCCTTTGTCCTCAGCTGTTTGCAGGCATGTGAGCTAACATGTGCTAATATGACAGAAGCACCCAGTTGTCTCCTGTGAAGTCTCCAGTTTCTCTTCCTCTCTGATGTATTATTAAAGCAGAAACATGGCCAGTTCTCAGTGTCAGGTATTTCCTGACATCACCTTCTTGCTCCTTAGTGGTGGGTGCTTGACCCCATTCATTAGCTCTGAGATCACTGGTTTGCCTCAGTTGAGAAATTCCCCAGACTAGCCCTTCACAATTATCTGTCTCTGAAAAGATATGCAAGAATACTCAGCATTTTGTGACCGATTTGGGGACTTTTAATTCAGTTTGCCTGCCCCAGTGTTGGTAGACTTTTCCTCACATGCCTTCTTGTCAGTAATTTCTTTTGCTGTTTGCAAGAACATGTATGCAATGGAAAGTACTCTGGTGAGCCCCCAAGTACAAGATTGAGGTGGTTACCATGTACCCACAGGTGTATTTCTTTGCATGAATGTTCACAGCTGGAGCGCCCAAGTGGCTGGCAGGGGTAGACACAGGTTCATAAAACCGAGGTCACCAGTTATCATACTGACTATCACACAATGATATCCAAAGAATATTTACACCAAAGAATTCCTGAGCAAGTAATGTGAATTGCATGAATAGCCAAAACCTTTGCACATAGCACTGTTCAGGCATATTATTTACACCAACAAAGGACAATGCTAGGGAGATCTGCAGTGAAGTACACTCATGCCTGCTATGCACATACTCTACACTCTGAAACATTTATCATTCAGTTGCCTTCATATGCCCACTGATGTGTGCCAATAAGTACCCCCAAGAGAGCTTGGTATGGCTCACTGCTGTCCTTTTACAGTGTAAACATGCCCCAAATAACCTGTGTCGACACAATTGAAGGAGGCCACTGAAAGTCTCATAGCCAGTCATTTCACTGAGGTGTTTACTCCCCTGCAGCTAGCAAATTAAGTATCACACTGGAAAGGGTTTCTGAATAAATAGAATCAGATTCTCAGCTGGTGTAAACTGATGTCACTCCATTGATTTACATATGCTAAAGGAACTGGCCCACAGTATATCATATCAATTAGGGATGCCTGCTTATACATTTCTTTTCCTATTAACCTCCCTCTGCCCAGCCTCACTCAAAAAGTCAGTGGCTGAAGTGGAATCCAGGAGTCCTGGTATCCTCTGGTTGTAGGTACCACACTGTTCCTAGGACCACTTCACAACATAGTTATTAATTGAATGCCAACCAGACAAGATGATCTGGAAAGAGGTATAGGCTTAACCTGACTTCTGGTGAAAATGAACTTCGTTGCTACAGGCCTTCTACCAAAAGGGCCCTGTTATTGACTGCTTTGACTGTGAACCTGAGCTCTAATATCCATAGTGTTCCTATAACACCTAGTTACGAAGTGGAGAAGGATAAGACTCCAGTATGGTCTTATCCCTTTCAAAGCTTCAGAGATTAATAACAACAAGTCCTCGTACTCTGTGCAGAGCATGACTCATATCCAATGTGAATCCTAGCTTAAGCTAATATTCTGGTCGGCTTGCTCCACCTAGCAGCCCATCTGTAGCAGCTTAGGTACCTGAGGCTACCTGAGGCCCATCTGTAGCAGTTTAGGTAGCTAGGCTACCTGAGACAGGCTAAACTTTACAGAGTTGCTCCAGTACCAAGGCAGCAAGCTGAATCATTCAATATGACTTCATTTTCTCAGTGCCTGCAAATCTTCTGCTCCTCGGGGTGAATAACTACAGCAACTGGAGATACAAATTACTTGATACATTCAAAAAGACCCATCTGCAAAGTAGAACTGCCTCCAAAGAGATACCTCAGCTCCCAAACCAGGCTTTTCCTCCTTTTCCCTCATCCGTTTCACATGGAGGGTAAATGTGCAAGGACAAGTCAGAATAGATACCAGTAACTATACCAATAGCCGGTGATGGGCATGGCAGCTTCATGCAAATGGATGTGGAAACATCTACCCAGTATTGTAAATAGAGGGCTAGCAATGGTCTAGGAATACAGGAATTTGGCCTGAAAGCTTTCCAGTTAGAGGGATATGTGGCACCTGTTTCAGACATGCCAGTTCGTTTCCCAGACACTGAACTCAGATACCTGAGGCAGATTTTTTGCCCCCTTTATTTTGCACCAATCCTTCCCAGTTTCACTTTTGTGAGGGGACTTGGATGTGGTGGTAGCAATCCTGGCATCCCCCCACAGGTTTTCTTTGCCTGTCAATGCCATATGCTGCTGATCCTCACAGCTCAAATTAATCTGCTCACCAGAGGGAGCTCCCGGGACTCTCAGCTCAGGCCCGCTTGCTTGTTTGCTGCTGTTGGAACAAGAGAAAGACTGTTGGGAGGCAACGGGTGATCTTTAGCTGTGAAATGAACTGTTTCTTCCTCATGCATATGCAGCAAATAAGTGTGAGCATGTGGTGGCCAGCTACCCAGCTCTGAGGTCTGCCCCAGTGCTGTCCAAATCTCTCTCTGGTCTCTTTCTGTCCCACCTCTATGATCTCATATCCTCCTGCTTCCCTGTACTCCCCCTTCTACCAACTCGCTCCACTCCCTGCCTCCACCCTGCACATCCACCTCCACCCTACTGCTGCAACCTCATGTCTTCCTACTCCACCCGGCTCCCCCACCTAATCGTTCTGCTCCTCGTCTCCACCCAGCTGCTCTGATCTCATATCCACCCTCTGCCCTGCAAATCTCCATCCATTTCTGGTCCCCACCTGTCGTCCCCCACGGACCCTTGCTCTGCCTCTTCCTCCTCCACCCACTTCTACCACCTTTATTGTAGGACTCCTCCCTGTAATGGTCTACAGCTGGGGTGGAGTTCATATTTTCCCTGAAACTCTCTTTTTTCCACTGAGTCATGTTCCCTCTGTAAGTCTTGCTGTGAAATCTTCCTTCCCAATTTCAAGGACAAAAGGACTTGACGGGGGAAAACGAATACATGGCATCCCAGTGTAACCCTCATCCTCCTACACAGGCCCATGCAGGGAACAAGCATTCCTTGCTACCCTAGAGATGTAGAAGATATGTTAAGATTTTGTAAGTAATATGGATATTTCTGTTCATTGCAAATTACAATGTGCCTGAAAGCAGCTGCAGAACCAGGCCTGCTGTAGTGGGAAGGTGGAAGATGCAGCGCCAAGGCCTGTACTGAGCCTAGTCGGACACCTGATGTCCCACAGCAACCAGGGTATTCTACACTCCAGCCACCTCTCTCCCTGCCCCCTGCCATCTCCCTGTGCTGTGTGCTGCACATGGAGTGATAGGTTTACTACATATACCACCGCTTTGCTGGAGAGAGTCATTCTACTCCATTTTTTACCTTTACAAATCATTGAAGTTGCCTGAAGGAACTACAGAGAGGGTCAGAATCAGACCAAGAGACACCAAATGATTAGAGATTAATGAACCGCAGAGGGTCAGTCTGACTTTATACCCTTTATACAGTTCCAAATTCTTTGTTGGAAGTTACAGACTTGGGCCAAGCCTTGGACTGGTTCTGGGGGGAAGGTAAAAAAAAAACCCATGAGGCTGTGAATTCACATAGTTCCTAACTAAGGACCTGATCATGGAATAGAAGCAGAATTACACAGAATGGAGACCTTGTCCACAATTTCCCAGCAGTTTGAAGTTTTTGATTAAGAGGCCAGCATCTAAACAGGGCACATCTACCTGTGCGCATTTACTGCACAGTAACCAAAATTACCACGCAGTACAGGGGTTCATCTACACATGCATGCCTGTACTGCGCAGTAAATGTGGCAGCTTATGCTGACTTGAGCATAAATTTGATACCTGCATCATGCAGACGTTTCGATTTTCACATTTTTATTTTTTTTTCAGTGCAGAAAAGGGACACATTTTGGTAATGCTGTTACAAAAAAAATGTACTGCACATTTCAGTGGGTTTCAGTCTCACCCCAAACCAGATAAAACTTAGTGTAGTTTTGTATACCTGCTCTCTGAAGTTTAAGGCTAAATCAACCCAATGGAAACAGCTGTTTGGAAACAAATATTCCAAGTGGGTTGTAAAAGTCCCTTGAATTGTGCACAGCTCATTGGTCCTCTGAACCTCTTCATCTGCAAAACTGAGCTAATGGTTTCATGAGAATGGACTCAGGAGATATCTGGTATCAAATGAACAGGGCATATCTACACTTGCTCCTGACTGCGCAGTTGGTACTGCACAGTCATTTAGTACTTGCTTTAGCAAGTTACTCACCAGTACTGCGTAGTCCCGGTGGCGCACGAGTCATTTTGCTACAGCGCAGTAGTGATGGCATCACAGTTAGTACCTGCCAATGCTATGTTGCCATAGCAATGAGCTACAGTGAAATAGCATCTCGTGTAGATGCACCTGCAGCATCTTTCCAGGCTTTTCATGTTTCTGCTTCCACTCCTAACAAGAACCGAGAAGCAAAGTGATGCAATCAGAAAAGTTATTCTTCATTTTCAGTCTCATTGTTAGCTTCCCTTGCCTCACAAGCAAACTTCTACTGGCTCATATCTGCCCACCTCTTATCTCTGATGTCTACTGCAGCTATTCAAGAAAAAAGTAGGAGGGGGAATGCTTTAAATTTGGAGTCCCCTCACCACACAAATCCAAATCACTGAATGCAAGATTATGCAAAGCAAAACCCCACAAAACTTCTGAAAAGGGAAACAACCAAAGTGCCACACAGCTCTGAAATATCATTATATGGAGGACTATATGAGTTTATCTTATTCACTGTGTTCTTAAGATACACCACTAAAGTATGACAGATTGCCTGGAGGTTTACATAGAAATGTTGACATCTAGCAAATGGGCAAAATCTCTTTTCCATATCACTCCCCTTCCTGCCACAAAAACTGAGTTAAACTTCAGTCGGTGCCGATGGGGTTAACTACTGTAAAGGCAGAGGCTGTATTTGCAAGAACCAGAGCCCCTAACCCCTGAATGAAAACATCTAAGAGTCCCATGCAAAACAGGAAAGGGAAACCATTTGGTCCAAGCCTTTGCGCTTGGTTTTATTTTTTATTGCAAAGCAATTTTTTTCCTTTTTCTTCTTCCTGCCTGTTTGTCAACAGATGTACGCTGGAGGGAAGCTGCTGTTTGGAGGCTATGTTTTCAACGGATACGGCTGCAGCAAGAAGGACCTGCTGAAACAGATCAGCAAAGCTCGTCTCGACTGCAAGATGGGCCACTTCCTGCCAGAGAGTTTCAAATTTAGGTAAAGCAGGAAATGTGGGGGCAGAGGAGCCATGTCACCCCAAGGTCTGTTTATGACATGAACTGGGCTAACTGGGAAGAATCAGGAGGGCTGTGATAAGAAGAGTGGGCATATTGATAAAGTCATTATCAGCCTCTCTAGTTAATAAACAGCATGCATGGGAAAAAATACTGGTGGGGGAGGAGGGAGAATAAGACCAAGGGGAATATTCTTCCCAGTGTTCATCACAAGTTCTTTGAAGCTCCTGACATCAAAGAGCTGTTATTTAGTGAAGAGATGCATCACCTTGAACTTGATCAGTCACAGCTGTAGTACACGGGACTCTGCACAACATAAACTTAAGTCCCAAAGGTCCTGTCTAGCAAGCACCAGGGAGGATCCTGGAGGGATGTAGCTATGCTGTGATATTCCATTCTTACCCAAAGAAAATCCACAGGCCGGCTTATCCATTTGGGTTGAGATTTCCAAAACTAACTAAGAGATTTGACCACACAATAGAAAACCTCCACCTTGCAGCTAAAATTGCCCTGGGAACTGAATAATCCTTTAGTTTCTGCTGTGCCTACCTGCAGCTGCTGCCAAAAAAATGGGAGTATTTTGCCACACTGTAGCACTTACCTTTGATCTGGTGTTTCTGGGTCTCCCTATCTTTGGAGAGGGAAATGTTGTGTTAATAGAGTTAGTCCTGGGAGTCTCAAATTCTGGTCTTTAATATCAACCTCTGCCCCTGGGCTTAGGTGAGATGACACCCCCTGTCCCTGGGTGCAGGCTGGTTACATCTGAACTGCACCATAGTTAGACTGAAACCACCACACACTTCTAAGTAGGGAGAAGGGATGGTTGTAGGAGTCACTGTAAGGTGCATATTGGGCCAATGAGATGCATACATTTCCATGCTCATTTCTCAGGGTCTTTTTTACCTCTGCAGCTGAAGAATAAAAACATTTCAGATTTAGCCCTGAGATTTTAACCAACAAGCAACTGTTCACCCCACTGCCCTGCTATGTTCCATGGAGATCCCTATTGAATCACCTAGTACAGCAGGTGCATATAGGCAGCCTCGGAGATACATTCATTTGCCCAATTTATGCCACTTATCAGATGCAAATAAGTGGCTAAACAAGAAGCAATTTTATCACTAAGTTCCAAATCAGTTAAACAGGTGGGCAAATAATTAAGTTCTCCCACACGCACCCGTCCAAGTCTTTGGAGGCTTTCAATATCAACAGTGTTCCTTCTGCCTGTTTCCTATTACAAGGCTGGTATGTGAGTGCCCACAGCTGACTCAGGGGTTTGAGCTGCACTACAGACCACCCGCTACTGCCACATCCCACACCTCTGGCTCCTCTGTGGCATCTACCCAGACAGAGCTCTCAGTGGTAGAGGCTTCAGCCCAGGTCCTGGGCTGCAGGGGGTGCTTAGCACAGCTCCTGGTGCCTGGGAGCAGGGACAGGCATAGCCCCATTTGTGGGGGCTGTGCTGTGGTGGAGTCTCTAGAGAGCCGGGTGAAGGAGCTCTAGGTGGAAGTGAGCGGGCTGCGCAGCATCAGAGCTGAGGAGCAGGAGATAGATAAGTTGTACAGCAAGGCTTTGCAGCAGAAGAATGAGGACAACAAGATGGAGTGGGAGGACCTAAATGGAGCTGAGTGGAAGATGGTCACTTCAGGATCCAGGCCACGTGCTTCAAGGGAAACTTTTCTGGTTCAGCTGTGCAACAGCTATGAGACCCTTGCACCACTGGTGGAGGAAGGACTGGAGGCACTTGCGCCAGAGAACAAAAGGAGGCAAGCTCCTGTCCAGAGCAGGAGACAGAGTGGTGGTAGTGGGCAACTCTTTCCTGAGGGGGACAGAGAGTGCTATCTGCCAGCCAGATCCCTTTGCATGGGAGGTCTGCTATCTTCTGGGGGCCTGTATCTGGGATGTGATGGAAAGGATTGCAAAACTCATCCAGCCCTCTGACCACTACCCCATGCTGCTCATTCATGAAGGACACAGCCAGGAACAACCCTGGATGGATCATGAGTGACTACAGGGCTCTGGGGGGTAGGCTCAAGGGATTGGGGGCGCCAGTGGTTTTCTTTTCCATCTTCCCAATCAGGGGTCAGGGCCCCTGGAGGGACAGTGGTATTGAGGAGATCAGCTGGAGGCTCAGGAGATGGTGCCACAGTGAGGGTTTGGGATTTTATGGTCATGGACTTCTGTTCCAGAATAGAGGCTTGTTCAGAAGAGATGGCATCCACCTCACGCCAAGGGAGAAAAAACTGTTTTCTTCCAGAATGGCTGACTTGCTGGAGAGGGGTTTAAACTAGGTGAATTGAAGGATGGGTTTGCAGCCAGGAATGCAAGTCAGGGGATAGCCAAGCAGGATGCAGAGAGGGATGTCAGGGAAGTTTTGAGAGGCTAGAATGATGTCGGGCAGCGGGGAACTGGGGTTACCAATGGGGGACTTAAGTGTCTATACACAAAGTGTGATACATAAAAAGTAGGAACTGGCACTCTTGTTAGCAAATAAGGAATATGATTTCATCAGAATAATGGAGACCTGGTAGGATGCCACACATGACTGGGCTGTGTGCATGGAGGGCTACAGGCTGCACAGAAGGGATCGGGTAGGGAAGAAGGGAGGAGGAGTAGCTCTTTATGCAGAATGCCTCCTTGGAGACCCAAATTGGTACGAGAGAAGGGTGACTCGAGACCCTGTGGGTCAAGATGGGGGGGGACAAGAAGAAGGGGACTTGATGGTAGGCGTCTACTACAAACCACCGCACCAGGAGGAGGAGCTGGATCTGGAATTTTCCAGAGAATTGATGGAGGTTGCACGTTCAAGGAACATGCTTGTCATGGGTGACCTCAATTACCCTGACGTCATCACTCAGGCAAATCTAACCAGTCATGTAGGTGTTTGACCTGTGTGGAAGAACTTTATTTAGTACAGGAAGTGAATGGGCTGACCAGGGAAAAGGCTATATTTAATTTGGTCCTAGCCAAAGGGAACAACCTGATGGGAGATTGAGGATTGAGGGTAATCTGGGAGATAGTGATCATGAGATGATATAATTCACTATCTGTCATAGGGCAGGGAAGTCAGCCAGTAGGGCAGAGGTGCTTGGCTTGAGGAAGGCTGACTTCAAGGAGTTTAGGAAAATAGTAGGAGAGACCCTACAGGAAGAGGGACTAGAGGGGAAGGGAGCTCAGGAAGGGTGGTTGTTCCTCAAAGGAACAATCCTCAGAGTGCAGAAAAGGTCCATTCCTGTATGCAGAAAAGGTGGTTAAGGGGCTGGGAAGCCCTCTTGGCTTACCAGAGGAGTCAAGGAGTGCTTAAGAAAGAAAAAGTGGGGTTATGGACAGTGAAAACAAGGGATAGTTACAAATGAGGAATACACAAGTATAGCCCGTATTTGTAGAGAGAGGATAAGGAAGAAAAGCCCAGCTACCGAGATCAGGCTGGCAACCGAAATTAAGGACAATAAGAAGTCCTTCTTTAGGTATAAAGGGAGCAGGAGGAAGATCAAGGGAAATGTGGGGCCCTTGCAGTATGAGCTGGGACAGCTGATAACAAACAGTCAGGAGAAAGCTGAAGTCTTTAACGAATACTTTGCGTCAGTGTTCCTGCATGCAAATGGTGGTTGCCCGCCTGGTCGGATACTGGACAGATGTGTGTGTGCAGGGGGTGTTACCAACCAATGGTCAGTGTCAAACTGGGGAGGGAGTACTTAGAGTGGCTGAATGTCTTCAAGTTGGCAGGACTGGATGGACTACACCCAAAAGGGCTGAGGGAATTGGCTAGAGGCATTGCGGGACCATTGGTGAAGGTATTTGAAGACTTGTGAAGCTTGGGAGAGGTCCCAGAAGACTGGAAAAGGGCCAATGTGGTGCCAGTCTTTAAGAAGGGGAGGAGGGAGGATCTGGGAAACTATAAGCTGGTCAGTTTGACTTTGATGCTGGGTAAAATTTTGGAAAAAATGATCAAAAAGTCCATTTGTGAGAGACTGGCAGAGGGCATGATGCTGAAGGATAGACAACATAGTTTCATTGTGGGCAGGTCATGTCTGACCAATCTCATCTCCTATGATCAAGTAACGAACTGCTTAAATGTAGGAGATGTGGTTGATGCCATATACTTAGATTTTAAGAAGGCATTCAAAATGGCCTCCCATGATGCTTTTATAAAAACACTGGGGAATTGTGGGCTGATAGAGTTGATGGTCAGGTGGGTTGGGAACTGGCTAAGGGGTCAAACCCAGAGAGTGTTAGTGGACAGGTCTGTATCGTCTTAGAGGGAGGTGACCAGTGGTGTCCTGCAGGGTTCAGTTTTTGACCCTCTGCTGTTCAACATCTTTATCAACAATTTAGATGAGGATGTGAAAAGCATACTGGCCAAGTTTGTGGATGATACTAAGTTATGGAGATAAGCAGTCACACTAGGGAATAGGATGCAGATTCAAGCAGACCTAGACAAGCTGGAAAGGTGGGCAGAGGATAAGGATAAATGCAGAGTGCTTCATCTGGGGAGGAGTAACCAGCAACATGAATATAGGTTAGGAGGAGCTTTCCTGGCCAACACAATGGCTTAAAGGCACCTCAAAGTTATAGTTGATCATAGGATGAACATGAGCTACCAGTGTGATGCTGTAGTCAACAGAGCTAATAGCATACTGGGATGCATTAGCTGATGTGTCGTGAGCAGGGCTAAGGAAGTGATGCTTCCTCTCTTCTCAGCACTGGTGAGACCCCAGCTGGAGAAATGTGTCCAGTTCTGGGCACTGCACTTCAATAAAGCCGTGGAGAATCTTGAAAGAGTCCAGAGAAAAGCCAGAAGAATGAACAAGGGCCTGGAGGACAAACCTTACAAAGAAAAAGTAAGGGATTTGGAACTGTTCAGCCTGGGGAAGAGAAGACTGAGAGGAGACTGGGTGGATGTCTATAAGTATGTAAGGGGTGCATATTGGGAGCCAGGAGAAAAACTGTTCAACTAGGGCACCCCAGGGGCGGTCAAGGATC